GAAAGCTGATACTCTGAACTGAAGAAGCTGACTCTCGAATCACCAACTCGCCGCCAATCCCGAACTAGCCCACATAGCACAAATACACATTAGGCCAAACATACATCCATTTATCGGGCCAAGACCAAAGTCCAAATCTTATACAAAGTCCAATATTGGCCCAATTTACCAAATTGGGCCCACCTCACCAAATGGGCCTAGATCCAATGTCCATAACAATAATTGGGCCCAAAAATACTCTATCCACAAATTCCAAACTTAGCCCAACAACCAACTACCCACAAACGGCCCAAACTCAAAGGACCAATATTAAGGTCCAATCAGGGGGAGTACGTTGGGCGTACCCTCCTTGGTACGCGGGGCGTACACACTGAAACGCAACTAGGGTTAGGTTCATGTGAGACGGCCTAATTTTGTGAGACCGTGAGACGCAATCCTAGCCATTCATTTATTAGATAAAACGAAAACATTTTTAAAATGCAAAATAATTGAAAATTTTCGATTTTTTTTTCCAATATTATTTTCGGAATATATATTTTTCAAAAAAAATTAAAAAAATACCAAAATAAATAAAAAAATAAATACAAAAAATATATATTTTTTTACATATTTTAGTAGAATATTTAGAATATTCTACATATCTGGCAAATCTAGTAGAATATTCTAAACATTCTAAAAATCATATTAGAATATGTACAGTGTAATATTCTATTAGAATATTTCACGTATTTAAAAAAAATGGCAATTTTTTTATTATTTTTTATTTATTTTAGTTAAATAAATTAAAAAAAGAAATTTTGGATTTTTCCTTTTATTTTGCATTTAAAATTATTTTTAGATTTGGTCTCACGGTCTCACAGAATTAGCATGGTGTCAAATGAACCTGAACCTATATATATATATATATATATATATATATATATATATATATATATATATATATATATACTATCTTATAAAACAAATCTCAATATTTCTAAAAATAGATTGAATAAAATAATAATATTTTTTTAAGACGTCCAAATCATTAAGTTAATTGTACAACTAATCACTAATAAAATAATATTAAAATTTAAACAAACTCCTATAAATCTTCTCTTCCAAGATTTTGACCAGATCTTTTTTCATCCAAAAAATACTGAACACCCTATAATTTGGTCATTTCATGAATTTTCTTTATTTTTAATATGACATGTTTCATAAAACAAACTAATGATTGAATTGAAAATAATCGTTCTCAATGGAAAAGAAATTAATTGTCGAAACAAACTATTTATCGTCCGCCGCTTTGCGCGGGTAAATGGCTAGTATATATATATATATATATATATATATATATATATATATATATATATATATATATATATATATATATATATATATATTAAATTGTTTGGGATTGTATTATCATATGATATCATTAACATACTACCAAACATAATTTCGATTTATTGGTTTCCGTAATATGTATTTGTCATATCCATATTCCATAGTCAACAATGTGCTATTTATATGATATACCACGAGATGCAAAGGGACATAAAGTTATCATTTTTCAGTCATTAGAGAAATTTATAATATTTATTATTTTTAAATCAATTGGATGTAGATATGTAAACGTGACGTCTAATCAAATAATATAGTTCTCATCCAAAACCCCAAAAGATGACAACGAAGAGAAATAAATGCACAAAAAAGTAATGAGCAAGATACCCAATTCACTGTTATGAAAATTTGATTATGTCATTATTTAAAACGATGATATATGATTGATTATTGATTTTAATTGCTTGTTTAGCCTAAACATATTCAAATTAATTTTAAAATTTAGAAATCAAACAGTTGATAATTCCATGATTTTGAGAATGTTCTGACGTTTTATTCTAAGAAAATGAGATTTATTGGATTATGCTATGTTATATTATTAAATCTTTAGAACACACTTACTACTTTATTTTAAAATATACATATTTTTGTTTGTATTAGAACTTCAACCTTTAATTTTTGGTTGAATGATACATATTCGTCGTCAACATATAGTTCAGTTACGTAAATATGTTCCATCAAATAAATGTGAAGATTGTTATGCTTTGTGTACTCTTATTATGCTACCATGTATTTTAGGTTACCAACTTTTATTTATTCATAGGTTGGTAAAATTTTGGTAACATTTTGGTTTCATCATAGTGACATATCTGACTTTTCCGTCTCATAAAATTATATTATGTGTTTTCTTTTCGAATGACTTGATATTATATAATATGATGTGTGCATATATTACAAGCGTGTTCGGTACAGAGCATTTGAGAGCTTCTAGCTTCTAGCGTTTGACAAAATGCTCCGTTTAAAACAAAAAACCTCGTTTGACACTACAAACTTCTAGCGTTTAATTTAATCAAAACGCTACAAGCTACAAGCTACCCGCTACCTGCTACAAGCTACCCACTACCAGCTAGTTTTGCCGAACACGCCCTATATCTCTTATTTTCTTTGCACTCATAAACGTGTTGAGTTATTGGTTATGCATGAGCGTTTCTTAATAAGACAAAATTCTCGTTTCAAATCTTTCCTAACTCCTTCTTGAGTTACCTTAAGTTTTATTTGCTTTTCATCATTAAGACATGTCTATGATTTAAAAATATAAAATACTTAAGATATATCATGTCAACAAGAAAATACTCATGCTTGTATGATGCTTTATTCACTTTAAACAGATACTCTTGTGCAGTTTCATTATAGATATCGTTGAATATCAACGATTGATCAACAACTTTGATACCACTGTTGCGTATTAAAACACCAAATAATGCATGCCAAATCCATAGAACTTGCGATGCTATTGCTTCTAGAATTACCGTCAAATGTTTAGAATCACCTCACGTGTATTTGACATCGTCATTCATTAGAGCAATTTGTCCGGAACCAATAGAGATAGTAATTGTTTTCTGGCATTTTAGGAAAACAATGTATGTTTGCATACGTTGCAAACAATTTCCGAATGTATTAACTATTAAACGTGGACTTACACAATATACATCTATCAGTCTAGCTATTCCATTTTTTACATTCGAAACTTTCAACCAATGGTTCAAGTATTCACCGATGATAATAAAAGATTCTTTATACTACCGTGACATTTAATATAAAAATAAATATATTTAAATTCCTAAATCATATAAAGTTGACTTCTCCTTTGTTTCTTTTACATTATTGTTAAATCTCATCAAATTGTCTTGTTTATATACTAAATAATTATTCTCTTGTCGTTAACGGTAGACAAATTAGCATGCTTTTAGATCCCTTTATTTTTAAATTAGTTTTATTTAATGTCTTACACGATTTGGTATTATGTAAGTGTTTTCTTATCATAAATCAAGTCAAAAGGACGTTATCATTTTCTTGATTAATATATAATGCATCATTTGGTAAAAGAACAATTAGATCAAATCATATGACTTTTTTGCTACCTTGTATTCATATGCAGGCTTCAAATTTAGACGAGTTCAATAAATAAAAACTAATTTCATCTTATGATCAAATTTATAATCAAGGTATAAGCATCACATGTCTTTAGAAAAATATAGGTGAAATAGGATGTATTATTGATCAAATTATTTTAGGGTTTAATTCTAAAATCCTAAAATTTAGGTGTGTGTGTGTATATATATATATATATATATATATATATATATATATATATATATATATATATATATATATATATATATATATATATATATATATATATATATATATATATATATATATATAGAGAGATATATTAGGTTAAAACCCGTAGAAGTCACTGGTGTTGATTTTTAATTGAATCTAAAAATTAATTATATAATAAAATAAAATTTCATTAATTTAGAAAATTTATGAATTGTAATATTGCATTTTTCAATAACTTTATGATTTGTAAGTATTTAATTATACAGTAAAAGATAAGTATTTAAATTAGAATTGGAGATTTTTAAAATCTTTATTTTTGGTGCAGTATTCTCATTGAACATACACAGATGATGCATTATCAATGTGTGTAATGAAATTAACATAAAGAAAATACAATACGTAATTATAACTCGTGGAAATCACGATCGGTATGATTTAAACTTTTATATAGATAAAAAAAATAATTGTAAGAAAAATGCACCGGAGTCTTGATTGTAAGTAATGTTTAATTAATTGATAAGTAAAATAAACATAACACTTAAATTTTTAAATAATCATTTGTCCACAACATTAAAAGTCTTATTCATCAAATTATCAAATTTATGTTGTATCGAAAAGTTTAAAAGATATAAATCTTAAACATAATATGTTATACAATGGTAATGAGAATTCATTTATCCATCATCCTTGTAGACATTTTTTAAATAATAATCACGATGTGAAAAAGAGAAAATATATATAATTATATCTTTGTAAGGAATGACATTTGAAATTTTAAAAAGAAACAATATATTATAATTGAAATAAGAAATTCGATTAAAAATTGTATGATATACATTATGAAAATTATATTTATATATATGGATAAAAATTTACTTAGTAAGCACTAACAAAAAGATATAGATTATATGTTTTGGTATGTACAAAATGCCTCGAACGTATAATAAAAATATTAATAATAAAAATAGTAACTTAGTCCAAAAAACAAAAAGTCCATATAACACTATTCACAATATTTTTTGATATTTTTGTTAATTACAATGTTATTTATATATCATATAAAAAGTTAGTTTCATATAGTGACTAGTGATCATAAATACGATTAAAAAAAATATGTATTCGAAATTTATTATGAAATTAAAATTAAAATTGTTTAAAAGCGAAAAAAAATATTAACGTACTTTAAAATCTACTATTTATATATATTTATTGTAAATTACAATTCAGCCCTAAATAAGTTTAACCCTAAAAACATTCATTCTTCCGCCCGACATTGTAGACTCAAAGTATCGTTTCTATTTTTTTCTTTCTGAAATTGCATACACCAAATGATGTATTCGATTTCTACATTTCAAAGTACTGATCTCTTGTAATCGGAGATCTCATCGGCTTCGTAGCAGCCTTACAACATAGCCACGCCACTACCTCCACTTCTTAACAGAATAATCGGAAATAAATACAGGGCTGAAATCCAAAATCGGAAGGAATACAAGTCCAATTTTGTAATAGATAGTAGACCGATTTTAGTCTGTTGCTAAAGTTATGAAAGAAAAATGGCGTCCTTGTGGTCTGATTTTGGAATATGTTAGTTGTTGGATTTCAATGATGAAGATAGGGCGACGATGAAGAAGAGGAAAAATTACTAATTTCGTTTTTGTAGAAGATGTGATTAAATGTACTCCCTGTATTTATTATTTGAATTTTGATTGTATTTCAAAATTGAATCTTGAATTGTTATTGTTTAATCCTTGGTTATGATTTTATACGTCCAGGTGTCACATTGGTAATCTCACCTCTTGTTTCTCTGAATCTGAAGATGTCACACAAGAGGATGCAGAAGTGATGCTTTATTGAGACAATTAGAGAACTTGTATGCACGAGAATTGCTAGATAGAATTGTGATTGATGAAACACATTGTGTAAGCCAATGGGGACATGATTTAAGACCATATTACCAGGTTATTAATTATTATAACATACAAATTTGTTCAAAACATTGTAGTTTTTCTTTAGGTTCTTATATAACAATGTTGCTATAAAGTATGTACAGAGTCTTGGTATTTTGAAACAAAAGTTTTCGAATATACCCCTGTTGGTATTAACTGATATTGCTATAGCCAGTTTCAAAGAGGATGTTGTGCAGGCTCTTGGACTTGTTGATTGTATTATTTTCAGGCAAAGTTTCAACCGCCCAAATTTAAGGTATGGGTTTAATGTAATTATAATGGGATTTTCAATGTGTTGACCTATTAAAATGTCAATCCTTCAGGTTTTCAGTTATACCCAAAACGGAAAAATGTATGGAAGATATTGACAAGTTCATTAAGGACAATCATTTTGATGAATGTGGAATCATTTATTGTCTTTCAAGGATGGACTCTGAGAAAGTTGCTAAAAAGTTGCAGGTTTCTTCTTATGTGTTATGTTGTCTTTCTCTTTGTTTATTGATAAAGCCACTTGTGAGTTGTGACGTTTAGGGTTTTTTATGGTGTTACTTTTCTTTCAGGGATTTTGGCACAAAGCTGCATTTTACCATGCTAGTATGGATCCAGATGAACGTGCATCTTTCCAAAAGATGTGGAGTAAAGATGAGGTTAATATCATATGTGCAACTATGGCATTTGGAATAGGTATGGATTATGGCATGTGATCTAGTCTTGTTATAAAAGTAATTAATAATAATGTTATAAAACATGATTGTTTCAGGTATAAATAAATCAGATGTTCGGTTTTTCATTCAACATTCTCTTCCTAAATCCATTGAAGGCTACCATCAGGTACCCTTTATGATCACATTTCACTTAAAAAAAATCTATGTATTTAAATGATATTTCTATAACTTGTAGATTTTTCATGGAATACTTTTGTTGTAGGAATGTGGGCGTACAGGTAGAGATGGGCAGCATTCTTCTTGCATATTGTATTACAGTTATAGTAATTATGTAAGTCATTATCAATTTGTTGTTATGCATAAAGAATGACTTAATAGAGAAAACAAGGCTTCACTTTCTAGAAACTTTCCCTCATTTTCATTTCGTTTTCTCAATATCTTTTAAACTTTTTTGAAGATTCGGGTCAAACACATGCTTAGTCATGGATCCATGGAGCAAAGCTCTTTTGCATCTCATGCAAGTAGTTTAAATTCTGGAAGAGTACTGGAAACAAATACAGAGAACCATTTGCGCATGGTAATTTTGATATTTATTTAATTAACTCTGATGTATTCATATCAGCATACAAACAATACCATCTATAAAATATAACCACTTGTTATTTACCTCAAGTCAGCTATTGTGAGAATGAAGTTGATTGTCGACGTTTTCTACAACGTGTTCATTTTGGAGAAAATTTTAATCCTTTAAGCTGCAAGAAAACATGTGATAACTGTTTGAAGACGCATACTCTTGTAGACAAGGATGATACGCAAATAGCAAGGCATTTGGTTATGATTTTATAATAATCAAAATAAGGAAAAATAATAAACATATAAAAAATCGGCATAGTTATTTTAAGGATGCTTTACCAGAATTGCACAGATGAAGAAGAAAATTTGAATCAAATGAGAAAGAAGAAAAATGTTGGAAACAAATTTACGGGTTCGATATTTATAGGTGCAATGAATAGGTGAAGATAATATTGTAATCATGATATCATTCCTATTATGATTGTTGTAAATTTGGTAAAATATTAATGAATTCAAATTTATTGCTAATTATAGGGGATATTGTTGATTTTATTGCTTTAGATATTTGATATATTTATAATGTATTTGAAATTGAATTTGAATGCAGGGATAATAGGGTAACTGAATTGTTGATTAGTAGGAGATATCTCTATTTTTCAAAGAAGCAATGGCTGGGAAAACACGATTTGGGGCTGCTAGGAGAGTGACACGTGGCGATTTTGTACTTATTTATTAGGATAGAGGATATATATATATATATATATATATATACACACACACACATACATATTAGGTTAGAGACTCGTGTATTAAACAAGTTGACAACTTAGAAAATCAAACTACATTGATAAAATATAATAATACAATACTAAAATATGATGAAAAATAGAAATATAATTTATTTCAAATCAATTACCATATAACTTATTTCAACTTTTAAAATTTAAATCCAGTACATATCTTGATTCATTTGAATTTTAAAATCTAACATCAAGTTTCGGATATGTTCATTTTTAAGTAATTATAATAAATTGAAGTGGGATTTCTGGTGGCCACGACGTGGTGATGGAATTTGGGGTTTGATCCCCTATTTAAGGGAATGTGATGGCTAGGGTTGCCCACCCTCAACCTCATTCACTCCCCCTCAGCCTCCAAAAAGGAAACTATAGCCTCAATCGCTAATCTTTGAGTTCTTGTGTGTTTTCGTGATATTTTGAAGAAGAAGTAGGCATCTTTAAGCTTGGTTCCCACAATCAAATCTTCTCGCCAACCTTGAGCATGTTTCTTGACCATTTCTAGTCCCCAAGATCCAACCTTTATGTTATTTATCTTTAGATCTAGTAGTTTCTTCCCTAAATCTTCTGAGTGTGAGAATCTGGATGGTTGAATCTCATAAAGTTTGCAACTTTAGGGATCAATGGGATCATTCTAGTGTCATATGTTTCAGATCGGAGGATCTATGTAGTTTTTGGTTCCATGCTCAAGTTTAACCCTTTATTCCCATGTTTTGACCTAAAATAGAAGGGGCATGCATTGGACATGCATGTCCATAAAGCCACGGTTTCTAGGCCTTATTAGGAATAAGAAATCATTCAGGAATCTTTAGATGTGAAACTCTAGGGGTTGGGTACTTAATGAGTGTCTTGATGCATTTAGTCATCCTTGAGGAATTAGGGTTTGGGATCTTGGCTAGTAGAGGTATCTTAATGGATAGATTTGGAAACTTTATCCATCAAAAGCATGGAAAGGGCCCGATCTGAGCTTTGGAGCTCTTGGAGTCATAAGAAAATAACTTAATGGATTAAGCTGCACATACTAGTCCCCATGACATGGCGTTTGGGTAGAAACCTGTCAGTTTTTTCGTTTAGCAGCCATAGTGTGACAACGAGCTGAAGTTGACTTTTAACTTTGACCATTAACCGTTAACTTTTACCAAGTTTGACTTTAGGTCATTTGGGATATTTTGAATAATACACTGGGGCTTGGTCCCTGAGTGTTGTACACATACCAGTAGAGCCGGTATTTAGAGCAGCATTCATATCAACTATCTTTCAGACATTAAGGTGAGTTTTCCTCAGTGTACTTGTGGGTCGAAGACACCAATGTCTTCCCACAAGGTTATGTATTGTAACATCCCAAAAATAATGACATAAAATTTCTGTTTTTAGATTAATAAATCGTTAATACATATCATTTCTATAAAACCAAGGTAATCAAGATTTAGCAAAACATCATCGAATCAGAGTAAATCACATAACGTAGAAACATGTGGTGTGTGCTCTGCAATCATCTCGAGCTCTTCCATTTGAAAACCAAAGTACCCAAAACATAAGCTGAAAACCATAAGCAAAAAGCTTAGTGAGTTTCCCCAAGATACCTCATACAATACAAATCAAATGAGATACGGGCCCCGCCCACACTGGCATAACAGACCCCGCCCACACTCGAATAATGGGCCCCGCCCAATGAGATACGGGCCCTGCCCACACTTGCATAACAATGGGATACGAGCCCCACTAGGGGTGTAAACGAGTCGAGCCGAGCCCGAGCCTGACAAAGCTCGAGCTCGGCTCATTTAATTTGAGGAAGCTCGAGCTCGATTCGAGCCTTAAAATGAAGCTCGAGCTCGGCTCATGAATAATTTAGTGGGCTCGCGAGCCTAATCAAGCCTAAACGAGCCTCTATGTGTGTGTGTGTGTATATATATATATATATGTGTGTGTGTGTGTGTATGTGTATGTATGTATGTGTGTGTGTGTGTGTATATATATATATATATATATATATATATATATATATATATACATGGGCGGATCTTTTCAAGGGCTAGGGGGGTTGTGCCCCCCCCCCCTGATTTTTTTGGCATTAATAGTCCATATGCTTTAACTTTATACATATTTAGTCCAAAAATATAAAATTTTGACTACGGCCCCCCCTGTTCACCAATTTTTATATAAATTGTGTTTTCGGCCCCCCCAAATGAAATATTGAAGCTCCGCCACTGTATATAAATATATATATATATATATATATATATATATATATATATAGACTCGTTTAAGCTCGTTTAGGCTCGCGAGCCCATTAATTGAAGCTCGGCTCGAGCTCATTTAATAAACGAGCCTCATATTTAGGCTCGAGCTCGGCTCGGGCTCGTTGAATTTGATCTCGAGTCGAGCTTTTAACGAGTCGATCCCGAGTAGCTCACGAGTAGCTCGGCTCACTTACACCCCTAAGCCACACCTACAATCACATAACGGGCCTACCTGCTAAACATATAACCATGTAATCATATAACATTCAAAGACATGCAAAAATCACAAAGATGGTAGCATATTGCACAATCATCTGGCCCCGCCCACATACAAATCATATATGCATAACCTGAAACTAGCATACAGAATAACCATCGGGCCTCACCCAACATACATACCAATACATACACATGTAAGAGCCACGCAGACAACTGAAATCCTAACATAATAACCATGGTTCGGCATTGGTGCCTTTGACCCGCTAAACACAGTGATGAGATTCACATCGCACTGCCGAAACGCATAGAAAATCCATGGATGTTGGCTGACATAACCCCGATATTAATATCAAAACAACACCCGATCAACATTTGGGTCCCCAAACCATAACCATAAGTCCAACAGTCTGTCCATGGGGTAAAAAGACCAGTTTACCCCTCACCTAGTTTGTCCCAAAACAAAATCCCAAACTAAAAATCTAAAAGGCCCAAAACCAAATAATCACTCAAAGTGCATACTTGGCCCAAATTCCAAATTGGTCCCCAAACATAGCCCAACATAACCCATGGTCAACCTTGATCAAACTTCTGGTCAAAGTCAAAGTCAACAGCCCATGATGACAAAACACGCCCTGTTGCCCTTTGGACACGATGTGTTCTTCCCTAATCCAAATAATCAGGAAATCCCCAGCCAACACGCCGTGTTGGCTTGCAAACACGCCATGTTTTCCCGAGATTCAACAGCTTAATACAATAAGCACTTAATCCTTGAAGACATAGCCTCAAAACATAGATCTGACTTCCTTGAGCTAGAAAACCATGTAAAGTTGCCAACTTTACACTAATGCATGTCTAAATGAAGCTCTTAAGCTTAAAAGGACTTAACAAGGGACTTAACACATTCATGTAACCAATTATCTCATAAATATTGCACCTTTAAGCTCAAAGGGACCAAAACAAACTTAGATCTAGAATAACAAGCCCTTAAATGTCTTCACTATTTCCTCAACCCAAAAGGGTCCAAAAGAAGAACAAAGCACAAAAGAAGAGATATAAACATAAACAAGACAAGATGCAAACTTGATACCTCAGAAAGCTTCCGCACAAGATAATGATTTTGGATCTAAAACCTTTTCCCCAAACAAAGCAGCTTCAAGATCTCCTCTTCCTTCACAAAGACCAATAATGAACAACAAGGACTTCATACTAGCTCAAGAACACCAACAAGAGACTTAAATATCAATTTTTGGGATTTAGTGTCAATGGAGGTTGGTAAAGAGACCAACCCTTAGGGCTTAAAGAGATTATATAGGGTGTAACATCCTAAAAATTACGGTTTTCTTCCCAGCTTCCAACACATCGTGTTGACGTTAATGAGAACCGCGATTTTCCTTAACTAGACATGACATGTTGGTTCCTCCAACACGCAGTGTTCATTCCTCAAAACTCCGGATGTTACAACTCTCGCCCACTTGAATTAGATTTTGTCCTCAAAATCGTTTTGTACCGTCCCAGGCACCCAGACAGCCTGAAAAATGCAACCTCATCCCTAAACACACATTGACTTCCCAAGGCTATCGATCCCAACCATATCAGAACTATCCAAACCCGAAGAAGACGAATCCATAATCCCAAGCAGAAAACCAGTGCTACCTTACCTGAAACCTGAAATCTCGAATATTCGAATCGGTCCGACTTTATGATAGATCGCTCACACCGAGTCACTACCATATTGAAACCTTATTGAATTCCAGACCAACAAAACGCTTTCAATCTTTGATTATGTTGATGCTTCCATTGGGAACAAAATCATTGGGGATTTACTGTTGTAGAACACTTTGCTTGACAGAATGCTCGGATAATCCTTCGAGTAGAAGACTCATTCTTGTAATGGTTAGACTCATACGAGAGCTGCGCAATAGGGTCAAATCATTTAATCTGAGATTATCCCATCCAAGCTGCAAATGACTTACCATATTTTACGATTAACAAGCGACTCCACATATGAATCCAAAATCACTAACACTGCCTTGACTAATCTCGATGCCCCCTAGCTACTTTTCAAAAGCAGTTGAGACCTCCCTGGTCCTAACTTGTCCGCTACTAACTAAAACACCAGATTACCACCCGGTTGCAGAGTAAAAAGTCACAAACAATCGCCTCACTCGACTTCCGAATGAAAGTCTCATCTAGATAATTATTGCCCAAGCAATCTAGCCGCTTATGGATCCAACGATCATAACAGTCCAACAAGCCTGACGCCACTAAATCCAACGCTAAAAGTGAATTCTACAAAACCAATTGTTATCTTATCTCACAATCGGCCTCCAACGACCTACCACTTCCATGGTTTCATGCATGTTGTGGTATCCCCACAGCCTTACGAACTTACCTACCTTGGTCTGATCCATCAGAAGATACCCATGACCAACCATATAATGAAATCCATCTGAAAATCCAAACCCCATACTTTCCTGATCTTC